GTTATGAGACAGCTCAAGAGAAGTCAAAGAGGAATTTAATTCTAGAGCTTTAAATAAGTCTGTTGCTCCTTTATCTCCAATCTGATTAAGAGCAAGGTCTAAGGATTCCAGGGAAGAATTTGATTCTAGAGCTTTTGCCAAAACTGTTGCTCCTGTATCTCCAATGTCATTATCAATAAGCTTTAAAAAATGCAGTGAGTTATTTGATTCTAAAGCCTTTCCTAAACTTATTGCAATCACATCTCCAATCTGGTTGCTAGAAAGATTTAAAGAATTCAGAGAGAGATTTAACTCTAAAGCCTTTGATAAAGCTATTGCTCCTTCATCTTGAATCTGATTTTCAGCAAGATTTAAAGAGATCAAAGAAGACTTTGATGCAAGAGCATTTGCAAGAGCTGTTGCTCCTTTATCCTCAATAACATTCCATCGTAATTCCAATGATGTTAGAGTGGAATTAACTTCTAAAGCCTTTGCCAAAATTGTTGTTCCTGAATCTTCAAGATCAGTAGAATCAAGATTCAAGGAAGTCAGAGAGCCATTTGATTCCAAAGCCTTTGCCAAGGCTTTTATACCTACCTCTCCAATCTTATTATACCCAAGGCCCAAATAACAGAGGGATGAATTTGATTCTAAGGACTTTGCTAAATCTTTTACTCCCACAGCTCTAATTCCATTTCTATGAAGATTCAAAGAAGTCAAAGTAGTGTTTGATCCTAGAACTTTTGCCAAAGCCTTTGCTCCTGCATCATTAATATTGTTATCCCCTAGATCCAAAAATGTTAGGGAAAAATCTGATTCCAGAACCTTTGCCAAAGCTAAAGCTCCAGTCTCTCCAATACTATTATTCTTAAGATCTAGGGATGTCAGATTGGAGTTTGATTCCAAAACTTTTGCTAAAGCTATTGCACCAGTGTCTCCAATGTTCCTACCCACAAGATTCAAAGAAGTCAAAGGAGAATCTGATTCTAGAGCTTTTACCAATGCCATTACATTTGTATCTCCAATTTTGTTTTGAAAAAAATCTTGAAAAGTCTGAGAAAGTTTTGGTTCCAAAAACTTTGCTGAATCTGCTGTATCTGTACTTTCAATCTGATGGCTACTCAAGTTCGATGCTTCATCTAATGCTTGATCAACCAATAGTTTTAATTGATTAACTACTTGTTCACAGGACGGCCGCACATTAGGATCCTGATCCCAACACTTTGAATATAGCTGTATGTACTCTTCAGGTGTCCCAGGAAAAGGAGGATCGCGATAACCATTATATCTCTGTAGGATAACATAAGATTCATCATAGTTCCCGCACGGAGTCTCTCCGCTGGAAATCTCCCACAATATTACCCCAATACTGAAGATATCAGATTCTTTTCCACGAATATACGATGGATCCATTAGCCTTAATGGGTCAATATATGCTGCATTTCCCGCACCCTTTGACATAAGCACGACCTTTTTTAGATCACTTGACAAGCCAAAGTCTGTTATTTTTGCAATGCCATCTTTAATAAGGATGTTCATGGAGGACTAATGCAATTAAACAGGATTAGCAAAGTTTACTAAGATAAGAATGCTTTTATCGATACAGTACCAAGTCCTTGTGAAGTATTTGCCGTGCATGCAAGTACATCAATCCATTGGTAATCTGCCAGCCCAACGTGCATTTATTTTTCCATGTGAGAGAAGTAGAGTTCTTTCTTAAATAATCGCGCAAAGTTCCGCCGTCGGCAAACTCGAAAATCATATGATAGGCATCGTCTGAGAAGTAAATATATCAATCATGTCAAATGTAAGCGTAATTGTCATCAACAGTAATTATGACATACAAATTATATTTACAGCATACCGCGATACAGTCCCAAGAATCTAATGATGTTTGGATGGTCGTCCACCCATTTGTGGATTTTCAACTAAAATATGATTAGAATCGAAAACAAAGTCTTTAACATGTAACAAGTATTACAACAACGAACAAACGCAAATAATTAATAACAACCTCGTCGACAAACTCTGAATATGTTTCTTCGTCGTTTTCGTTGTTTCCTGGAATCAGGGTCTTCATTGCGATTGCTATTCCGGTATGTTTCAATGTTGCTTTATAAACTAATCCATATCCGCCACGACCAAGAATTTTGCGATCAAGGATATCACTTTCTGAATAACTTCTAATAAAGCCTTCTTCAATGCTCTTGTCGAGCCAGTCTTTCTTGGATAATTGACCCAGAGACATATTCGATAAACATTATCAGGGGAGGGCAAGACGATATTTACTATTTGGACATGAATGCTCCGTGTTACAAGAGCAATCCCCTATGGTGGTACAACATAACTGCAATAGTAATAGAATATTAAAAACATAATTACCAGCCAGGTGTACAGGCCATAATATTCCCATGTATGGTTAGACAGCATAGAGCTTGAATCTTGTAATTCGTGCCTGGAACTGAGTAATTCACTTCTATATTGTGCTTATTCTCTAGTTGCTTGCATTGCATTGGTTGTCTTTTCGTATTCATGGTATTGTTCCATTGCTTTATTGTTTCGTTCATTCTAGCTCACTCCTATATTGTGCTTACCTACCCTGATTTCTCTAGTCGCTTGTCTTGCATCGATTGTCCTTTCGTTACTCATGGTATTGTTATTGTTTCCTTTTCTTTTCTTCCTTTACTGTCTTCCTTTGTTACTCCAGCCATTGAGCACTTGCTCCGATCCTCATTTCAGTGATATATTGACTTGCTACTTCATTTTTGTAGATGATTGCTTCGATATTGGATCATTTTTATTGTTAGCATCATAAAGATAGGGATAGAATTCGGGATATGTATGATAAGAGCAGTTGCTGCACGTAATATCAGGCTTAATGATTTACTCGCCGCTGAATAGTGATTCTGCATTGCTCCATCGCCTGTTGCAACACACAGACAAGGTGTTTATATTTTTTTGGCAAGAAGGAGCAGCACTTACATCAACTCAATGCTTCGCGGCTTGGTTATATTGACAGCAGAAAGATCAAACTGGAGGTTAATTTGCATATCAGTCAGACTCATGAAGGCTTTGATGTTTTCGAGGGAAGGTTTAAGGCGTTTGTAGCAGTGAGGAATTCTTGATTTATTGTAATAATAATGGTGATTAATCGTGTCAAATACAGTCTGGATGTGTGTTTCAAATCATATTTTTTAATTACTTGTTAAAATGACAGTTTGTAAGGAGCGATTCTAACAGTCGTATTATATCATAGACGTTGAGTATCAGCTTCTGATTCAACATCGGACGATTCCGGATTGTTCTACTGATATTATGAGTTAGTAGTAGTGGTATGATATTCAATGATACGATTTGTTTTAACGTATGATATTCAATTGTATGCGATTCGTTTGATCGTATGATTCAGTGTGGCATGATTTGTTTATTCAATGGTACGACTCGTTTAATCGTATGATTCTATGATTTATTTTAATTGTATTATTTAATGACACGATTCGTCCTAATCGCATGATTCAATGGTACGACGCGTTTTGATCGTATGATTTATTTTAATCGTTCTTTGCTCAACATCATGATTCACTTTTACGTCGTAAGTTCAAATTCACCCAATGTCAATTCTTTAATAACAATGAACTAGTGCAGACTAACGTTTGATAATAACATTTCTTTGACATAGCCTTGAATTCGAATCCTAACTCGTTTATGATATTGTCACAAATGTCTAATACCGATATTTACAAATTTGAATACATAATATGATAATAATACCATTTAAGACATTTGCACGCCTTAACATTATCTACATGGAGATGAATCTGTGTAGGGGAATCTGTGGGCGTATATGAATATTATTATAGATAATTGGAATCCCGATTTTATACTATCACGGATGCCTTCCACCTTGTATTCGAAAGTGATAGTAAAGTCATCGTCTGGTAGTCTCGTCAATTCTGCCCACTCAATAAAATATTTAGTAAAATCTTTGAAAACCCGTTTACTTTGAATATCCAATGCTGATAATTTACCCAACCAATAAGACCAGCGAACACTGCTATCCAATCTAATCATTAGCGTTTGGTGGATCATGCAAACGCGACTCTTCTATAATTGTTCTTCCATATAAGGAGAGGGATACAGCCGGTCGCATCCTCAATCTCTCTCTTTTGATTGTCATCAAAGTTTGGCAAATGGCAACTATATATCTTCCACCATGCCGTAGTGAATGACATTCCGTTTTTCACGATAAAATCAAATTCTACGAAATTTTACCATCTTGTATAATGTCAAAATAATGCATCAAACTCATCGAAAAGGAGAACAACATTGCGCTCCCACTGATCGCGCTGAAACGCTTTGAGAAAACCCTGTGCAGAATCGATTTCTAAAATAGAAATGCCATCAGTTCTTTATATTCTTCTTGGGATCTCTGTCTCAACCATTCGGCGTGCACTTAACTCGGTAGGACTTAAAAATTGTGCTGCTCGTAGTAAACCATTTATTGCCATATTTCCCCTTTTAAATCTCTAATTTCGCCTGGCATTTTAATAAAAATTCTATTTCTCCTTTTAATTTAGGGATATTAAAATTGTTTTGATAAACGAGCGGAGTACTATCCAATATTTCATTCCCATAATATTCGAATTCGTACGACCTTGGCAGGTTGTGCGACCTGGCAGGTAAATTCCCGATTATAAAATACAGTAAAATTTTGTTTCCAAAATCAAAATTATTGACATACACAGGCAAACTCGATAAGTCGGTCTCTCGATGATTCAATTTTGGCCTAAGAAGGCCAAAACTTCCCAAGCCCTTTTCTCAGTTTTAATATTTAAAATCTCTCGATAAGTCGGTCCATCATGCATGACCGACTTATCGAGTTTGCCTGTGTATAATGTTTTCGACAGAATTGTGCAGGTGATCATCATCGGAATAGCACCAATTAGTGATCATTCAATAAACAGAAAATTTTGAACCACAGAAAAAAGTTGAAATTGCTGCATTCCATAGATTATCTTCCAATGGCTTCGCTATTACTTAACGCTGTCAGACTCAGCCGGACACAGGGCATCCGGTCTTCGCAAATTCGCTTCGCATCCACCACTGCGGCTGTTGCTGAGAAATCTGGACAAGTTGCAAAAAGCGTCCAAAACTTGGTCACCAAAACTACAGGTATTTTCTGTTATTTAGAAATGTCGATGGAGATATTTTATCGACGAGAATAAGAATGCGCATATAGAATGAGGATTTCTTCCCGGTATGAGTTATTGGTCGTTTAACACCAATGCTTGATGTCAATAGCTCTTAGAAAACCCATCCTCTACAATGCTGCAGTCGTGAAGGAACTTGTAAAGGAAGTTTGGAAGAGGGAAGACCTTTCGCCTCCTAGTCTTGCGCAAATAGAAGAAGCACGTACTTATCTTCAAAAAACAATACGTTGGAAATATATCAAATCACTGAGCCTATACGATTATGCGAGAATTGGTATACGCTCAGTAGAAGTAGCTGGATTCTTCTTCATCGGTGAGGTCATCGGTAGACGATCACTCATCGGTTATAATGTCTAGAAAACAAACTATAATTTTGCAATTGTCAGTGGTATACAGATAATTAAGACATTCAATATTCATGTTTTCCATATAATGCCATTGCTTCATCATTCTAACAGCTTAGATTAGGCTTTCGTTCTGATGAGGAAGTCAATTTATTAGTAATGACCCAGCTGGTCATTTGCATTATTTTATTTCTCTAAACAAGCTCGTTAGCAATCAATAAATTAGATAACAACCGAAATATAAAATGATATACGATATATCACTACGTGGCACTAAAATTTGATTCACTTGGCCAACATTATATTTTATCTTGTGCTTTGATCAATGCTTGCATTATCACAAAGAAAAAAGCCTTCAGTGGAATCGTAACTATATAGACAGCCAGCGAGTATTGACATCTGTCCCTGTTGCAGTACTTGCAACGATTAAAATAGCCCATTACGTATTTGATGATGGCGAAGATGACGAAGACTCGTCGGAAACGTACGTTCCTGCATCCGTTTTAATCTGTTGCTGAAATACACTGCCAGGTAAATGTAAGGCTCCTATACCGGCTATTATTTTCAAAGAGACTTACCAGTTCTTCGTTCGTTTTCAATTGCTTCACTTTTTCTAATCGTGATATGGCGGAAATTGTTGCACCATACATAGTCCAGACTTAGAGGGAACATAAGCTAAATAACTTTTTACAATGATGCCGCCGTCATGCATATCCTCCCAAAAGTGTCTAAATTATACCTGCTAGTCCTGCCAGACCAATTACCACAACTCTTTGAGTATAATCTGCTATTTTAGACAGAGACATGTCAATATTAATATTGTTCCAAGACAAAGATCCGAGGGTTGTTTTGATGACCCTAAATTGTGGTTAACGTTATGCTTTTGTCCATGTGATAGATTTCAATCGCCAATTATTTATGGTGAAATAGTAATAATAGTAGATAATCTTTAAGATCTCTCCGTTATACCTTTTTTATCAAAAATTCTCTGGCCACTATGTCGAGTCGCCTTCTTCCCGCATTCCGTCCAAGCAGATATATCCGCACACGGTTTACGTATGGTTTATTTTTACCACCATTAACTCGACCTATTTTTTCCTTTCTAAAACAAAAACCACAAAACGAACCCCTTTCAGATGAGGAAGTCCGCGCCTATTTACGAGAATCCATTGAAGATGAGAATTATTTAAAGAATAATAAGAATTTGCGGGAGTTCGAGTTTCCGGGTATTGTGTCTCGAATTTCGTTTGTGTGTTCATTACAAAGGCAATTATCAATGAATTCAGTTACAAACCGTTTTCACCTCTGTTTTCTTAGGCGCTCAACCCTACGATATTGAGGTCAACATGGCGAATTGGGATGTGTTTTTATATACTCGTGACTTTCCTACTACGGATTCCGAGAGATCATTGAGGCATGTGTCAAAAGTATTGACTTACCCGATAACTATAGCCGCAGTTCTTCACAAACATGGACCATTCACCTTGAAAAACCGATTGACACCCGAAGGATTAAAGTCGTTGCTTGGTCAGTCACGTTATGTTGTTTATATGTTCTATTATTTTCGTAACTAGTAACAACTAATGCATTACATGTAATCTCAATAGTTTATTCTCATATTTTGCATTATTCGTTTACTCATCCTGTATACCAGCCCTCCGAAGTACACTTTACCCAATGCAAGAAAACAGAGACATCAAACATCTTCGTCCTGCCGAGATAATGCGTATATTCATCGTTGGTTCACGTGCTGAAGGTTACCTGCCTACATATATATACCTCCAACTCTCTCATCTCTTTCCTATGACCGCTTTCCATATTTATTTTATTGGTCCGCAAGCTCTTCCTCCTCGTCATACTCAACCATTTACCCAACACCTCAATCAACGCCTATCCTTTAGCTGGAGTAATCTTACCTATCACGACCACCATGACTCTCTTTATCCATTTGATCCGTACATGGACGTGTTTTTCTTATTCAGTCCTGGATTCGGGCAACCGGATGGCAAGCTGTCCTGGGCAAAGTCTCTAAAGAAGATTCTAGGTACTAAATGCGCAGTTTTCATCACTGGGTATGATGCGAAGGACATGGCCGATGATGTAAGAGCCTTAGAGGCCGAAGAGTGGCCTGTAGATGAAGAAGCAGAAATAAATGAAAGTAGTAAGAAAAAACTTGAATACGACTGGTTGTTAACGCCTGGAGAGAATCCATTTAGAAGTTTAAAGAGAGATATAAACGCGAACGACGTACGGGACAGTATCTTCAGTAATTGGGGTATATTTGGAATAAGAGGCAAAAAGTATGAGATTAAAGTTGCTGATGAAGAAGTCGAAGAACAATATGAGGAGATTGACGAGGAAGAAGAGGAAGAGAGTGAGATTAAGAGTATTCCAGGAAATAGGTGACGATTATACATTGTTCGCGTATTTGTTAAGAAAATAAAGAATAACACCAGTCTTTCGTAAGAACTTTGCCTTAACGTTTATAAGATAATCGCCGAGCACATAGCAATCACATTCCGTTTGGTCAACTTAACACGTAATAAAACTTCAGACAATGTCACAGCCAATTAATTAAATAACTCTTCTATAATAACTCATTAATATCTACATTGAGTCAAGGAAACAACTATTTGATTGTTAAACATAGTCGACACGCTCATCAGACAATGTTCAGATTATTGAACCGATTTCCTATCCAAATCTAAATGTCACGATGGGATCTTTTTAAGACATAACATCTATTGATTCTAATCTATTCACATCAAGAAACACGCAAGGAACAGCATAGTCAAAGACACTAAAAATCTCATTGTTTGTTGGCGGCGGAAAACCAAGCACATTCTCGATATATAGGGCAATCCAATTGTCACATTAGTCAGAGGCCCACTTTACAGAGTAGCTAGCTGTGCTGTACTATTGACAATTTTGACACACCAAAATGGATTCGCTATTTGCGTGATTCACCATTTTGCTGCATTTCCAGAATTTTGTCTTAAGTATTTAATAATATTAATTAATCGCGCGTCCGTCCTGCAGAGTCTCTTTTTTTATGTCTCCATATTATTAAATGTCCAGTATCTTCACACATGAATCCTTTTGTTTGCAAGTACAGTTGCGCCTCCTCACTCATTTCCTTACAAAATTCTAACTTCAAACGGTTTAATGCCTTACACGTTAAAAGCTTCTTCAAAGCTTCCATATTGACTTCAAGAAGAATTGCATGAAATTCCTGCAAAGTTGGATGATTCATCAGCCAACCGCAGACGCCTTCAACGTAGTATTCGGAGCTCATCAGAGTGACCGTTTTCAATAAGGGTAAGGAGCGAAACAATAGTGCGATATATTCAGGAGCTGATTTGTATAATTCAATGTTTATCCTCAAAGTCTCCTATAGAAATGATAAGTTTAAAAGGAGAATATAATTGGGCAGATGACTTGAAGATATGAAAAGAACGTTATGTCATACCAAATTGTTGACAGACTGTGAGAGCTCTTTGAAGATGTGTCCAGAATTCCATGCTTGCATGCTTAGTGTTTTAGTGTGACGAAAAAGGTCCTTATATTCTATTAACGCATTAAGCGCAAATTCACAATCATCTGTCATATACAAAGTCTCCAAGCGTACGTTCAGATCCCTCATTATCTCGTGAATTGCTGTAAGAACCGTACGTTTAACATTTGACTCGACACCATGCTGGTCCGTCCAAATATACCAATTACGTACACAGCTAAACATCTCATCAGTGTCCAAATGTTTGATGAATGATAAATATTTATACAGCGGACGTGAGTAAAGACAGGAGAGATTAACATTATTTGTCTCCAGGAATGTTCTATGCTTAGTATCAAGAGAGGATAACAAGGCTGTAATGATGAGATATTTGCGTTCTCCTTCAGCGACAAACGGACGAGAATAAAGCAGGGGAGTTGTATTCACATTCCATGCTTTGCTTATAAGTGCGCATTGATAAAATATATTATGCAATTTGAATCCAATTTCGGGACTTTCCTTCAACCAGAACAAAACAGACTGTATGATTTCATTTGGAAGTGCCAGCACCATGCCTAGTATAGCTATAACAACGAAAGAATTTATGACAATGAAGGTTTGATCTCACATTATGCCATGATCAGCCAATCAAAGGACATATGACACAGCCCAACCCGATATGGGTGGACAATGATATACAAGGGATTTCTTTTAAGTGTAACCACTTCATAATGAACAATAATAATAATTTAGCACGTCTTCCGCGTTATACCGTCATCTGCACAATTTCCCACCATATCTTGGCATAATGACGGTTCCCGATTTAGATAGAGTGGAACCAATAAGAGACAGAGTTATGTTGACATTGTTTTTACCGTCTGGGTGTTTCTTTGATAGAAATCATACATAGCGAGTGCTCGCTGAGTTCATTTTCGCACATAAAGTTCATGCCTATAACCTCATCTGACAAACTAGAACTTGGAAGCAAAGTTTTGATGGATTTGATTTCTTGCCCGCCACAAACGCTAAAGTTTGCACGTATCCCAGTTTAAAAACACAGTCTTCCTACTACTGTGAAACCATCATCGAGTCTGTATCACGTATGTAGTTCTTTAAATTCTCGACAGATAGCGGAAGTAGAACTGAGCCGGAATTTTAGTCTTTGCCAGCTGATATCAAACAACATGGCCGAGAATATCCTTTCTCTGTGCAATACCGCACTAAAATATGGCAGAATTATACAGGATATTGGGTCTTTCCCTATATTAGGGCAAACTTTCTTAGTACTCGAGGCGATTGTAGCGGTTGTTGAGAATGCAGACCACAACGTGCGAACATGTTATGTTTTCAGAGATAGAATAGTCATCGCACAGCACACTTTGGAAAAATATAAAAAAGAGGATTTAGAAAACAATGTCGCATTAATTGCGTATGCGAAGGTGAGAGTGAGAACAAACCCTATATATGCGCTTAAGAGGTCATTCTGACTAAGGCATTAAATCTGGTTAGGTTCTCCAAGATATTGAAAAATTTGTTAGAAAAATTACCGATGCGAAGGGTTTTAAGAAATACTGGAAAGCAATGACAGTAAGCAAACAGCTGCCATTATTATTGAGTAACTTCTGTATATGTTAATAAACTAAACTTGCTAACATGTATCAATTTCGAATGGGTTGATCGATAGGTGAAAGAAGATGCTGAAAGCCTTATTGGCCGATTTGACGTAGCCATCCAAGACCTTGGTCTGAATACACTTGCTAGTATGAGAAATGATATATCTAAAGAGCTTGCAATTATTAGCGATGATATCCAAAAAATGCAAGAATTCATGGAGACGGTTCAGACGGGTATTGTCGGTATTGATGGCAAGTTAGACAAAGTAACGGAACTCGTGGTTAGTCTGCAGAACTCGATCAAAACGGGCGAAGTCGAACAGAGCATATTGAATTCAGTGAGTTTGGAAGCAAAGGATATCAAACAGGATACGGCTGGTTTTGCCGACTCCGCTATAGCATCGGATTTAAAGACGGTGCTTTGGCACCACCAACCAGCTTTTCAAAAAGACATGGGATACGTCACTGATGCCGAATTGAAAGAAGTAGAAAAAGATGTGGCCATTTTAAAACAATTACAACCGTGCAAGAATATCATAACGCTTTATGGTGTATTCAAGATTGATACACGACTACATTTGCTCATGGAACATGCTCAATATGGTAAATATACAATCTGCAATATAATTGCGTAGATGTTTCCTGCTATCTAATTCATTCATATCCCGCGTTCACAGGGTACCTCTATGATCATATGCAGGTTAACCACTCTAACATGGATTGGTCTCTACGATATTCCATTGCGCTGGGCATTGTACAGGGTGTTTGTTTTATGCACGAAGTTGGACTCCTACATCATGATCTCCGAGCACAGAATATCCTTCTCGGGGAGCACTACACTCCCAAGATTACTAATTTCCATTCTGCTAGGCCAGAAACAGAAGTTTCGCGACCTCTAAGATCAGGCGTTAACAAGATACGGTAAGTGCATTATTGATATACCGAATTTGTACAATAGTCCACTTGTTTACATAATCATAGTAGCACTGCCAATTTCATGTCTCTTTTTCCTACTACGTGATGTGGTGCTTTAAATCTATTAACGTAATCTTTTTGTAACCGTACATTTATTGCTGAATTAAAATTATTAGCTGGACCCCGCAAGAAAGGGCCAAGAACCCAAGACTTCGATTCAACAAGCGCGCTGATGTTTACAACGTTGGCTATCTCCTTTGGGAGATAGCATCTGGCAAGATTCCATTCGAAAATGACAAAGAATTCGACGCAATTAGGAAAATAATGGAAGGACTGCGCGACCCAATTCCTAAAGACACACCAGAAAAGTATGCAGAAATTATCAAAAAAGCCTGGGCACCGGATCCAATTTCACGTCCGACTATAATTGAAATTTACATGCAGTTAGTAGAGGCGAATAAAGAATTACAGGGAGGGAATAAAAAGAAGAAAGGCGTTGGTGTTGATGAGCTTTCCGACTTAATTGACGAAGACGGGTTAATAGATCTCGGGGATAATACCGGACCAAGCATCGAAGATGCTCTCAAAGCTCATTCCAGTGCAAGTTATGATATAGCATATAAAATCTTTCAAGAAATTGACACCCCTAAAGCGCACTATTACTGCGGCCTATACAATTATCGCGGACTTGGTAACCTGGAGGTGAACTCGGAAGCAGCGAACGAACACTTCCGAAAAGCCGCTGATGGTGGCAATCCTGACGGTCAGTTACGTTACGGAGCAGCTCTTATGAAAGGGGATGGTACACACAGAGATGTCAAACTAGGATTTGACTATCTCTGCAAAGCTGCTGACAATGGGAGTTCGGCGGCGCAGTTCAATGTTGGACAAATTTACTGGTCAGGAAGAATCAACGAAATTGGTGTTGACCGGGATGCGGGGAAACCATATTTGATACAGGCTGCTAAGGCCGGTCATCCTCATGCGAAAAAGCTCTGCATTGAGAACGGTATTGATTGGGAGTAAAGCTTACATAAATTATTTGTTAGTTCATGTATTTATTTTAAACCACAATAAAATTATCACGTGCTATGTATGTCAATGATATGATGTCACACAAATTCGTGTCCAAATAGGGTATGTATGGGAATTGTGAGTAGAACTTTGATCCCGAAAAATGGACAAATATCCCCGTTCGCATTCACCATATGGCTATAATCCAGTGGCAGGATCAGGGCAATATGGCCAGCCTCCTCAATATGGCCAGCCTCCTCAATATGGCCAGCCCCCGCAGTATGGCCAGCCCTCACAGTATGGCCAACCCCCGCAATATGGCAATGTCTCGTCACCAATTCCGCATGACAACTCCAAAGTTCGGATAATAAAAGTGAACAAATGTCCGGACGATTCGAAGGCATTAACGAATTACGTATTTGTACATCCGAGGGATTTTCAACCATCGATACGTTACATTGTTGTGACAAAAACTCAACTCGATCCCGATGAAGTCGCTCAAGGTCGCCCACATCAATATGTATTTACCATGAAGTAATTATCGTTGAGTTATAAATCACCGAAGATGATCAATTTGTGCACCTCCATAGCCTTCCTGTCTTCACAATTTAATCACTTTGAACTTTCAAACCAGAACCGACGAAGCCATTAAAGAGAAGGAACTTGGCTGTACACTGCTCCAACGTCGCTGGGCTAAACTTTCGCTAGGTCAAGAAGTATCAGTTGTTGCATATGTGCCGGATTCTAACAGCTACTTATATAGACTACAACTGGAAGTTCAGTTCTTTAAGAAGCAGACTGATAGACATGACCATGTCTTCGACACGGATCAAATGTCGAGGGTCTTCTTACAGGTTTGTGAAACAACGTGAGAATGGATTGGTAGGCTGTTAAACGGAAGACTCAGTTTTTGCTTTTTTCTAGAATTTCAACGAACAAATATTTTCAAAGCAACAGGTAGGATGCACGATAGCATTGACGTTGATACATTCTCTCGATGACATATTTAATTATGACTTCCAAAATATCTAGCTTCTTGCCTTCGATTTTGAAGGGGATACCCTCCAGGTTACTGTGATGGCTTTAGAAACAACCAACTTGCAAGTTCCCGACAAGAAATCACAAGGAGAGCGTATAGACACCTCGCAAACGGGTCAGGATACTGTTCGTGGGATCTTGGTGCAACAGACCGAAATCCATTGGTCGAAAGCTGCAGATTCTTTGATTAGATTGAAAGGATCGTCAAGAAGGTACATTTGATATGTGTCAATTAATGATGCGTCTATCCGAGCTAATGAGATTCTGTTGAAATTTCAATATTGTCGATCACAGTTCTACTGCTCCCAAGATAATTCAGCCAAATTTTAAGTTTGAAGATATGGGTATTGGTGGATTAGATTCAGAATTTAGCGCCATATTTCGGCGTGCCTTTGCGTCTAGGATATTCCCACCCACTTTGGTGGAAAAACTTGGTATCCCGCACGTCAAAGGTATTATTACCTTGATTGATATGATAACCCAATAAATTTAGTAAATCGGTCATCTCACAGCAACACCTGTTCATATCCTTGTAGGTATCCTTCTATATGGACCACCAGGTACGGGTAAAACACTGATGGCCAGACAGATTGGTAAGATGTTGAATGCGCGCGAACCCAAAATTGTGAATGGCCCGGAGGTCCTGAGTAAATATGTTGGTCAATCGGAGGAGAATGTTCGAAAACTGTTTGGTGACGCAGAAAAGGAGTATAAAGCCAAAGGAGAAGATTCGGGATTGCATATTATAATATTCGATGAATTGGATGCAATATGCAAGCAGCGTGGCAGCAGGAGTGATTCCACTGGTGTCGCTGACACTGTTGTCAATCAGTTGTTAGCAAAGGTGCGCATTGTGATCGGGACTTGTGTGACTGACATATTAACGGAATGTCTTCTTATAAGTCGCTTGTTCTGTTTAGATGGACGGTGTGGAGCAATTGAACAATATCCTTCTCATTGGTATGACTAACCGTATGGATTTGATTGACGAGGCTTTGCTACGACCAGGTATTTAATAATCAGTTCTTGTCTTGTATGCTGCAGGTAAAAAACAAACAAAACTAATGTGTTCAATTGGTGCTGCGCAGGCCGTCTTGAAGTGCATATGGAGATAGGGCTGCCTGATGAGAAAGGGCGTCTTCAAATCCTTAAGATACATACTGCACGTGTGCGTATGCCATTCGCTTACTAATATACTTCTTTTACTTCTTCCGTGATGTCTATTCTGATCGTTATCCTTTTTCTTTACTCTCCCTTCATTGTCATGTTGACAGATGCGTGAGAATAACATTCTCGACTCGGATGTTGACATGGCTGAACTTGCGAGTCTGACCAAAAATTTCAGTGGAGCCGAGATCAATGGTCTTGTCAAGAGTGCTTCATCTTTTGCGTTCAATCGTCATGTAAAAGTGGGTACTCTGGCAATAGTTGCTCCTGATGTTGAGGATATAAAAGTGAACAGGGATGATTTCTTATCAGCGCTGGATGAGGTACAGCCAGCATTTGGTGTTAGTGAGGAGGAGCTGCAGCAATGCGTGCAGAATCCAATTATTTATTACTCTCCCAGAGTCGAGGTTGGTAGGCGTGTCAATTGAGAATATAGGATGTTTATAAAGCAGGGAACAGGGATATTGAATGGCATCTGTTTCTGTTGGTAGGTAATATTAGGTGATGGAAAGTTATATGTGGATCAAGTAAGGAACAGCGACAAAACTCCGGTTGTCAGTGTTCTTCTACATGGTAAGTGTCGCTAACTACTAACGAATGAGATAGTATTCCAAAATTTTTCATGTTTGCATCTCTACTTTGCGCTTAGGTCCTTCTGGAAGTGGGAAGACAGCCTTGGCTGCTTCAATAGCATTATCATCTGAATTTCCATTTATTAAGCTCATATCCCCTGAGAATATGGTTGGTTTCTCAGAATCTGCTAAGATAAGTGCGATAAACAAAGTAAGTGATTAAGCAAATATAAATCATAGTGGGAATTCATAATTTTGAGTTAATAATTCAATGATTAATATTTCCTTAGGTGTTTAGCGATTCTTATAAATCACCTCTAAGTATTATTGTTGTTGATAACATCGAGCGAATACTTGGTGAGCATTTGATTTATGACGGCATGAGCGTAGTCGATAGGTTGTTTGTCTTTTGAATTAATCAACCCCACAATTCTCTTGCAGATTGGGTGCCAATTGGGCCTAGATTTTCCAATGCAGTATTACAGACGTTAATGGTTTTGTTAAAGAAACGTCCGCCAAAGGTAACATGCATGTGTGCTACTCAACTAGTCTGTTAGGATGGACTTTTTACTTACATTTTCCGCTCTTTGTTGGGTACGTGACCCGTTTTAGGACCGTCGATTATTGATTCTCTCCACGACAAACGAAAAATCTGTTCTTGAGAACATGGATATGTCGGATTGCTTTAATTCCGAATTGTACATTTCTAATATTGCAGACCTTCAGTCTATTAGTCACGTGCTGGATGATTCGCAATTATTCTCACCAGAGGAGAAGAGGGAAGCTTTAGAAAGATTACGCATAAGTGGAATAGATCAAAGGATTTCAATAGGCATCAAGAAGTTGATGATGGTTATCGAAATGAGTAGACAGGACGTCGATAAGGTTGACAAGTTTGTCAATACTCTGATGGGGTTGTAAATTTAGATTAGATATTTGAATGTTTATTTTCTATTAGATTAAGTGATTGGAAACAGGATTATTTGCTTTCGTATTATTATTTATAAAGATGTAAGTTAAATTACTTTGAACGGAAAACTAATTGTTCGAGTATCGTCTATAATGTCAAGGCGATTTTTGTACATGAAAAGAAATTATCGTCAATTGCTCATGTTCGCGGAATTTCAAATTTACACTAGAACGCGCTTTCAGTTTCACGGAATTTGCCATCATCACCATTAGCTAATTCACAAGCTTTTGCTAATGTGTCCTTTCTAGAATTGAAGTAAAAAACCATCTTCCTCACATCTGCGTCAGAACTACAAGTCCTTTTGTGCACGTGTTTGTCATAGTAAGTGTTAATTAATAGCTTAAATGTGAAGAAAAGTACTTGGCGATAGCAATAGAAATTTGTCTGCTTCCTGTCAGTGAAACAGAAGGGATAAATGCAACCCTTCTTTCTACCAATACTATTCCTTGGGTCACCACTAACTTTTTTCTTTATTCTCCTGGTAAAATTAACTTTTTGACATCCGTAATCAATACAGAATGCTAGAGAGCATTTGAAAAGAATATTTACAATGGCTGATGCGGACGTAACGAAGAGTAATGCCCCCAATGTGTCACATATAAAATCTTAATCCTCGCAAAAAATACTTTACAGGTCATAGCGAGCGTTACATTTAATGTAATAGCAAATCGCAGTTTTCAACGTCCTGCTTCATATTAATACCACGACCACGAATATCACGCCCGCCAAATTTTTTGACTGGGATTTTCCACCAATTGGAATTGCATATTGAAGATTACAACGAAAATTTTTATGTGAATCGTCAGTAGACTCCTTTCTCCTCTCTTCTTTCCTTCCCAATAGTCTGTATTGTCGCAATGCAAAACGATCAAGGTGTAGTCGTAGACCTCTACGTGCCTAGAAAATGGTATAGTTATACATGCATTCTCGTGAACAACGATTACGATAAGCATTTATTCATAAACTCGCCGTTCCCAAATTCGGTCCAACAGCGATGCAACCAACAGACTTATCACTGCAAAAGACCATGCGTCAGTCCAAATTAATATTGGAGAAGTCGACGAAGAAGGTCATTTAAAGCATGGAAAATCTGTTATTTATGCCCTTTCTGGGTATGTTCGCTCCCAAGGAGAGTCTGACGATTCTATTAATCGCTTGGCCACAAGAGACGGATGTAAGTCACATACACGTGTTTTTGAAGTATTTCTGCGCATTTTGAAAGTAAAGTGACTAATGAAAAACAAACAAACGATATTTTGATGACGAATAATCTGCAGTGCTGAAGAAGTAAGTATTGAATTGAGATAATATAAGTATTCCAAATGTGCTCGGTAATAGGCTAACGCTGTTTTTGTTCATTCCAGTGTGTGGTCTGCCCAGCGCTAGAGATCAATTCAGCTGTCCTTAATTATATATATAGAGGAATTGTGACTCTAAGTAATGTTTCTTTTATCAACTCTCATAAATTCGTTTATGGAATTAGCAATTAAACATGATGAAATACTCGAGATTTGAGCAATTATAAGACACCGTATTAACTATTTATGTATCCGTGTTTGATTTGACCGCTGCTCTCGTGACCGTTCTGTTCCGCTCTCGTTCACTAGACTTGGTTGATAATACCATTCTATGAACCGTGTCCATGCTGTAAACAAAGTGAAATACTAAGTAAAACAATTACACGTCTTTCATCGACACGTTCAATAAAAACGTAAGCACGATTTCACATTCTGCCGTGTCATAAATGTATATGCATGTTCTCTGCCTAAATCCCAATCACCCTTCAACTGCACTCACCCCAGAATGAAAATCTCCTTCCAAAATATTTAGCTACTTGAGGTAAAACCAGAGTAATCAATACATCCTTAAACACCTTAAACATCTCGGCAAGATCCTCTTCATCCTGTAGCTCATCACACTCCTCTTCCTCTTCCTCTTCTTCTTCCTCTTCCTCTGTTACATCAGTCACTATATCAGTTTCGTCAATTTCTATCACACTCCGTAATTGTTCCGTTTCGCCAAAGTGATGCGTGAATACGGACAGATTCGTATTGTCGGTATTCGTATCGGGGTTGCTTCGATATGGAGGTTCATCAAGATAAGTGGGTGTGGATATTGACGCAGCATACCGCTGAGGGTTTGGCGGAGTCGGTAGTTCGGGTGGGACAGGCATATCCCGCAAGAAAGGAAGAAAATGAAGGGGGGGTGAAGAAATGATTGAGCAAAGGATGGAACACAGCTGAAATCAATGGGGTGAAATGTTCGTACTACATAAGTAATGACTGGTGACGTCACGAAAGCACAAGCTCTTCATACCACCATATTTGCCAACGCTGTAAGGCATTAATAATCTTGCGGGCCGCACACTATTTCATCGTGCTTCTGCTTTATGTAAACTTTTACATAACGCCTTCGGTAAAGAACAAGATCAAGTTGTCAATCTGTAACCCTCTATTCAATGCCGTTACATAAAACTGTCGTTTCTTGCTCTGCTAAGTTTCTATCCAACTAACGAACTGGGATTCGGATGCTAAATATTTGATAGCAATGTTTGTGCAGGATCTACGTATGTAGTGCTAGATCGTCAAGCTGCTTGAAATCGAAATTCACGTCACTGACAATAATAATTGTTGGGTGATAATTCATTCGAAATATACGCTCATTAGGATTTAAAAAATGCAAGTAATTGAGGAATGAGATATTTGCAATGACAGACACAATTTCTTATCAAAATTGGTGTTAGTATTAACGGATAGAATACAATTACAAGAATTATTTATAATATACAAAATTCCAGCTCTAAATGCACAGCAAGTGTTCAGTCCCATGATAGGGACTTGAGATAAGGGCACGTTCTACATTCTGCAATGCAAGCTATCTTTATACGATAATGAAATGCAATACCATGTGATAAATATTTTAATTAATTAAGAAGAGAAATCATTTCGCACTAATATTTAGATTTAATAAATTAAGTGTTCATTATATTATGACCATTTGAGGCTTATATATTCCGTGACAAAACATATTACAAATTATCAGGGAATAGAGGTTCATATCATACAGAGAGGTTATGTGAAACTACATGTTGGCGTTCTCTAATGTACGACGTGCATTTAGAGACAGCTCAATGTAATTATAATGGATAAATTCTTGTGAAAACAAGTAGACTAATAATTGAATTGAATGCTATTGTGTAAAAGAGCCCTAGCATTTACCAACATCATAAAGGAAATCGACGTCGCTCAACCTCACAACTTCTGCTGCCGAATCAGTCAAACTTTTTGCAATCGAGACATCCATTTTCATTGCCTCTTGAAGTGCTTTCTTGACAGTCCATGCTGTGACAGTATCATCGAGTAAAATGTTTGCAAAAAGACCAGGAAGTCTATCGAGCAATGTCTTCAGCGGCTCAACTGAGGTACATGTATCATACTTGTCACATATCCAAGCCAACATGAATTCTTTGACGCATTGAGCTTTACCTCTGAAGATTGCCGAGTTTGCCGAGGACCTGTATAAAGATGAGAGAATTATTATCTGGAAACATAAAGGAAAAAAAAAGTATATTTCGTTCTACACTTGCCATGCATCAGTGAGTCTGTTAACTTCGTCTTCTGAAGTGACTTGCTTGTCTAGGGTTGGTGCGAAGAGACTAGCAAGAGCATCCCTAAGCGTTTTGGGGTCTGATACATCTATGCCATTAATTAGTCTAAAAGGATAGTCAGAATAGCCTTTAAACTACTAAGCCAATCAATTCAATTGAGGGTATATATGTATATATATATATCTTACTCGTAAAGTCCCTGGTAAGAGCAGTCTAATCCGCAACACCCTGGATTTGCGCAAACATCATTTTTAACTGGTGACGTTAAAGTGCTGTTGGCTGCCATTGTCGATTTTCTGAGAATGAAAGGCAGTGCGAAGAAGAAGAAGAACAAGATAAAGAAGGTAATTATTGCTCGACAGTAGAAAGCATTTGGAGACACTAGTTTTATATACATTCCAAGAGGGGAGGATGGTAAGAACAGGTCAATAGTTGTACGGAAAGAAAATTGCAAACTGTTTATAGTTTTGCATTTTTATCAGCCTTAGTCTACATGCAAATATGCGAATGTAATAATTAGGTCAAATAGATAATGTGTCGTTCATTGAATAATTGTTAATGCTACACTATTAGGTATATGCTCATTTGCAATTTGTTCTATGCGTTGACTTTCACAAACGATCTTCCATCTTAATCAAATATCGAGTGAGATATTTCCTTTGCAACATTCTCTCTGTTTATAAGACAATCCTCAATTTATTATTATTGTTATAAGAGTTTTGCATATCCCTGCCTGTGAAGTGAATCTATGCATAAGATCACTAACTTACACGTATAAGCATAACCGTAGCTTCTTATTCAGCGTATGGATCAACAGAGAAATGGCCCAATACAGTGATTACAGCCATAACTAGAAATATATTATATCAGGGATCCTGAACCAGCAAACATCAGTGTAATCGTTTTCGATCATCACCAAAAGTCACGCCCCAATCCAAAAAAAATTTTGTGCGGATCCCTCGTTCTCACAACTTTTACACGCAAATGATGAACCGCGCTTCGCCTTTTTCACGAAACGCCGTTCATCTAACACGTCATCTACTGCATTCAGCACAGATCGTTTCTGGGGGCCATCCTCGACCAAAGTCGGTTTCCGTTTTTAGCCAATTACCTGCTCGCCTTTACTCGGATACTCTCAGCGTCACAGACTCTATCCAGGACCCCGTTGTAGAAATTGACGATAATAAGACGAAAAGTCGGCCAAAAAAAAAGTCTTTGAAAAAGAAAACTAACCCAAAGAAACGACGCCGTAAAGTAGAACTTCTCCCCCCCGAGCATGTAAGCGATAGCTCGTCCTCTCTAATTCAAGAACTTTTAACAGTTCGTCATCACTCGACTTTGGGTCGTGAGCTGCTAATGGGCCGTGAACCTCGAGCCGACATTAAAGTTACAGCCGCAGATTTAGACAGCCTTAAACCTACTACATCCAAGATTAATTATCTAGCCTACCAGGAACTCGTTGATAAGATCTCTGGAGGATTTCTCGCAGACCAGTTACGCGACTATCTGAGAAAACACAGTGTCAGAGTACCATCTAACAAGGGTGCGATAATTAAAAAAATTATTCGCGATGTGTGGAACATAAGCGAATTCTATCCAAATGAATATTGGAATAAGATTCTGAGAGAGAGTAATATAAACCCGTATTGTTCTTGATATGATACGATTGCTGTTAGTGAATGCGAATACGGATAGCTTATGGAATTTCTTATGCTGTAGCTGTGCAAGCGGATAGAAGTACTTTGTATTTCTTAATTGGTCCTGGTGGGTGGTCTTTTTTTTTTAAAAAAAAAAATAATGATGCTAACTTTATATCACGTTTTGAGAAGAGTATCCACAAATTACTTTCATGTTACAGACGGTGAGACATTGCAAACCATAGAGTCATCTACTGGTGTTAATATACGCATTAATTTGGAGAGAGAGTCATATGCTTTATTTGGCAAGCGAGCGGATGTGGTAATGGCGAAAGAGATGATAAAGAATGCAACGGTATTCCATATTTGCTAACTGGGCTTGCTGGTTCGCGTATTGTCATTCCGTCTGCTAATTACTTTTGATACAGGATTGTGCTTCCAAAATAATAGATCCCGCTCCACATATAATCATTGACGATAGATCATTGAACGAAATTATGCCATACATTGTCAATGTCTGTCGAATGGCTAGCACATTTATCGAGGTCAATGGAAATAAGGTAGAAAGAAAAAACAAAATAAATAGACAAGCATTTTTAATTTTTCTTACCGTTCCGTCCATGATTACGCGTTTACGAGTCTCGTGATTGCTCACATTCTATTTTTATTCCAGTTGGTGATATATGGTCAGAGCGAAGATAATATCAAAGAGGCCATTCGATTACTCGATAAAGCATGGTCAAAGGTATAAGGTGGTTTGTGACTTGACTTGATGTTATCGATTTACTTCGCAAGTCTAATCCTATCTTTTTCTTTTTTTTGAATAGCCTGATGTCAACGAGAATCATTTGACACTGTGTAGTAGCTTGGATACTACTGCACAACAATACGCATTTTTTCCGATATATGATCTGAAAGCAATGTCAATGTATTGGAAGGATTCTACATGGTATCGGATAGGGAAAGTGCTGGAAAAGGTTGATAGAATGGAGATTTATGGCACTCTTGTATATAGTGATCGGTCATATTAACAATATGCAATTCACGATGGAATTATAGGGAACCAAGGACCTGCTCACCAAACCAACAATCGTTGACCCGCTCTCGGTATTAAATGCGAGTAAAAGGTAACCCATAGGAATATCCGAATTGAACTAGTCAAGTTTACTGACTAACAATAAAACTTGCCTGTTGATTAGCATAGAAAATTCAGGAACAATGGATAGATTTTCTGATACCAAATTTCAGCTACTGGGCAAACATTTGCGCAAATACATTGAAGATGAATCTCCAAATACAAAAGTTGACCTGTGCGCTCTGTAAGGTTTCTACTCAGTTCTACTTTATGATCTGTGGGACATGGAGTTACTACTCCCGTGACACTTATTAATGATTAATTTAATTGATATATTGTATTAATGATGTAGGTTTGGTCATATAATATTTCACCATAATAATACTGTATCTGACAAATATCTCCTTTCTCCAGCTGAATCTGGAAAATTCAGTCAACGTGAGTTGGGAAAAATGGTCCACCCTTCAAGTTACACCCAAGCATTTCTTCCAAGGTAAAATATATGGATAACTTGAATCGTATTCAATAGATGACGCGTAACTTATAAAATTTACTCTTTTTAGCTATCCATTTTATGGTCTTGTTGAAGGACTCTGGCCAGTCTCAGAACCGGAGGAATGTGTTGATGTTGAATATGTGGTGAACGCGGACGAATCTCTGTCAGAATATCAACCTGTACATTTAAATCTCAAATTCAAAATTCACAAAGACAACAGAATCGAGCTTCAGAAAGTGTTGGGCTGCAAAAAACGACTCATTGTTGATTTTATGATGATGGATAGACCAGCAGATTTCAGAATAATGGCCGCCAGTTCACTTGATTTATTTTCCGCCAAAGGAGCAGAGAAATTTATTGATAGATGTTCTCTCAGCAGGTCAGCCTTATCAAAGATAGTTCAAAGAAGCATTGCAACACAGCCCATCTATTAATACACTAAAGATAACTTTTATAGTGATGGAAGGAAACACTTTGAATGTCCTCGCGAATTTCAATTCGAAATGCCTCCTGGAGAAGAGACTGCAAAGTCATCACTTCAATATACGCTCAACAATATATCATTGTCATCTGTAAGTCGATACGAGTATTCTGGATTACTATTAGAGACAAGAATAAGCCAACAACAAGAGACAAATGCCACTATATTACAAACAAAGGTGAGTTCGAATTGCTATGCTGCTCTGTTCAGTTTTTGAGTTTTTTTTTTTTTCCCTTCCACCCACCCACCATTTCATTTCTTCCAGCTCTTGTGCAAGGAAGCTCCACCACCAGCATATACACAATTGGCAGAGCCATCAACCGAAGAATTAATAAAAGATCTATTTGGATCGGGTAAAGACACTAGCGATAAAGAACCCACCAATGAAATGCATGCTGCTTCCGTAGAACCCGAGGAAAAGCAAAATCATGTAGAGAAAACTTTTAATCTATGGGAGTCATTTATCAGACGGACACTCGACATTGTAACTCGATAATAAAATATTTTGATCACAACAAATTGTGCGAGGTACTGCGTAAAGTTTGTCCTGATCTACGTGGGTCATGCGTCTTGCAGCCCATGTTACAGTAAATTATTGATGCGAATATTTGGATGGTTTACTACTCACTTTGGCGTGAAAGGATGAGTGATAATTAGGCTTCTCTGTTAATTACATCTCACTTGCACAGTTCCCTTTTAAGACATACAGTATATTCAGTATTTCCTCCATTTGCAGCTGCGCGCGTGACCACGTTTGAGTTAAATTTTTTGGTTTGTTGACATTATCAAACTGACGGTTTAATTTTGTAAAGCTTTTTAGCAAGTGGGTTTTCGAAATGTGTTTCGGAAAGCAATAGCTGCGACACCATTTATTGTGTTCTTGTAAGGAGAATCAGTTTGTCGTATTGTATATCATCTAACCAAATATGAAATCAATATATTTACCCGATTTCAACGTTACTAGGATGAAATCGACGCGTTAACTGTTACGCGTGGTCTTGGTGATTCCGATGGTGGAGGAGCGTCTGTTGCTGACCGCGTCCTTGCTCAATTGCTGAATGAGCTTGATGGAATTGAGCCTTTAGTGAATGTTACGATCGTGGCGGCGACGAATCGGCCTGATATAATTGTAAGTTAGTGACACGGTATGTTGATCGATTTTCATATTTATAAAGTTTTGACAGCTGTACTCTCAAGGACTCTGCGCTCTTACGTCCGGGACGAATCGACAGGATGTGTCTACGATTGTGTATCAATTAAAGATGGTAGATTAATTACCAATGTAACTAATTAATAAAGCTAAACTCAAGCGTAAAATAAAGATATCAAAATCGATAATTATCAGGTTATAGAATAGACCATATATTAAATTCATTGTTGTTTGATATCAATATTATAAACCATAAACGTCATTTTAAGCCTAATATGATCCGGTGCAAAAAGATAGACACTTCGAAATTGATCGCTATCACATCGTTGTGTGCGACTTTAATAACCATAACACAAGTGAATAACCATCTTTATATAGTACATCACTTAACTTGTTTGAAAAAGTCTTTATTCACGAGCTAGCAAAGTGCTGCTCCCCTAACTGAAAACGAAAAAATAATGATTTTAAACGCTCGCAACTACTTTTCAGAGGAGAATAAAAAACGTCAAAAGTTCACACTACGCAAGCGTGTTGCTGAGGTCTTGGGGGGGGGGGGCAAAAAAATTACCGATGCAAACAAAGCTGGAACGGCTGTTTTAACCAATTCTCGGCAATATCTTGCTGAGGATGGGTTTACGCTTCCTAATGAAAACTTCTTTGTTTATTGCCATTAGGTTACTATTACGGCCACGGCAAACGTAGGAATATTTTACAATTTCCAAACAACGTATCATTTCGGTGCCAATACATTCGTAGTCGCTTATCAAATTTACAGGGAAACAATGATATTCCAAATCGACCTGAAGTGTTTTTAGATGAATCATACTGCCATCTTCATCACACTTCACCTAACACTTGGGTTCATCACCAGGGTGTTGTTTTAGCATGTATATTTATCTAATGAGAAAACTGATGACGAATCCATTTCTGAAGATAACATGGAATCCAGTGAGTAAATTTTTAATAAAACTTATATCTGATAACCTAAAGAAAATATTGGTAAAATTAGATTTTAGAAAAAAAATTTTGTTCGCAATAATCTGAGGTATCTATCTTTTTGCACCGGACCATGGTAAAAAATAACAATCGATAGCATGGATAAAATCAAGCCACACAAGTACCGTAAACTCTCATGAATAAGACCTGTAATATCGTGAAATAGCTACCCCCTCTCATCACTCACTAGTTTGAAAATTATTATCATATGAAGTATGCAGTTCGTGATTATGTAATAAACAGAGATAACGCGGACAGTTGTTACGTGACGATTCGTGGTTCATTTTGCATTGTTAAGCCACAACCAACCATCTCATGAATAAGAGACCCATAATGAAGGGGGGCCTTATTCATGAGAGACTACGGTAAAAGTTCGAGTAATTTATCTCATAATTACAATAGTTCCATTGTTATAGCAATACGGCAATAAATATGTTTATATCACGTGTCAAAAAATTTGCAACGATGAGCGTAATGGACGGTGGAAATTTGAGTTGGCTTTATGTTGGTGATTTTTTCGTAAGAAATCCATTCAAGTCTTTTATCATATTCACTTTCCAAGGAAGATTGAACCAAGTTGTCAATTGCTGGATTATTAACAGTCCCTGATGTTAACGACATCGTTTGAATAAGAAGTACTGAGAACGTTTATTGACAAGCAAGATTTTTCCGTTGTCTCGGTCCAGAACTCAGTCATCTCAGTCAGTCGAACTGAGGTACAACAGCAATACGTCAAATGTCGATCACGGGGAAATGTCTGAGTTTTGGACTGAGACAACTGAGTTCCGGACTGAGATGACTGAGTTCTAGACTGAGATGGTCCCGAACTGAGGTACAACAATATTATAATTTGCGTCACTTTATGTATCCCCCTATTTATTGTACCCCCAGCTCCTTATTGTATATCAGTATAAATCTACCTCATTTGTATACAGTGTGTTACAAAAAAAGTGGAATTTTTTTTTTCTAATATAAAAAGTATGACAAAATTAGATAAAAGTTTACAAATATATGTATTTTTATACAAGAAACAAATTTACTTACGGCAATTTAATGAAATTCTCGATTGGTGTAATCTTATATATCATGAAAACGAATTTTACAGGTAGTGAAGAGATTTGTAAATCCACGCAATGACACTCGGGATTTTTCGCTTGCAGCCATGAAACTGTCGGCATAGTTTAAGAGTTACTTAAAATAGTTTAGAATCTACATAATCATAGAAAGTACGAGTAAATCGTATTGGAGCCTCACTGTTATGTGTGTATATTTATTCATGTATGCAAATAGTACAGTATAACCATTTCTGTATTCATTGTGTACTATGCGCAGTTAATCGCAATACACAAAATCACAAAGGAATTTGTTACTAGGATAATAAAAAGTCCAAAGAACAAACATAAACTTATATATACACATTTTTAAGCATTTAACGTTATTTAAAGGACTCTCCAGCAGCTCAAATGGGTTAACATGCTGTATTCCTTCTAATAGTATAAGCGAGTCAGTTCGGATGCATGCTATTGCAGCTAAACCAAGGGTGTAGTATAGAAGAGTCGACATGAAATATGTAACATGTTCGGAACCCCCTTTCAAAGTTAAGAGTCGAATTATGGATGTCAAACAGTTTCGTTATTTATAAATATAGTACGTAAAAAAGTTTGTTCTCAAAGTGACTTGTTACACTTGTATCACCAATGAAATATCACACATAAGAATCGGCTTTCTGTATATGAATTATATCGTACCGTATTACCTGGATAAACGTATACGCTGATATTATCTTGAGGATCAGTTTAAAGAAAAAGGAGACATATTAATATACGCGTGACACATCGGATTTGCTAGCCAGTCAAAAATTTTTACTAATAGTTGTTCAAACAATAAAATCCACAATAGACTTATATAAACATCTATATTAATTAATATGCTTTACTATTGGTTAACAACAATTTCTCACACTCCTTACTACGTAGGTAACAACATTTATACTTATAAAGACAAATAATAGCAATCATGCTTCACCGTGATTCGTTGTCAGACGCGAGTACGCGTCTGCTTAGACACTTATATATACCCACCAAGGTGCAACTTGATCATCGCGTATCTCTCGCTTCACAGAGCAACTCTTCCCCTGAGACGAATACACACAAGCCAACTTTGCAAGACAAGAGGCCTTTGACGCTCTTTCCCTCCTTATAACACAGTTTAAACCACACAACAACGGCAGAACCTCAAATATGCAAACAAAATTTTTACAATGGAGGAACGCTATACCCGTTTCTTAAAGTGCTTGAACAAACACAATACGACTGCAACACGTAACTCACACGAGCAAGCAGTCGGATGAAACGAACGTACTCCTACAAAAGCCGTTTCCTAAAGTACTTGAATACACACAATACGACTGCAACACGTAACTCACACGAGCAAACAGTCGAACGAAAACGAAACGTACTCCCCTCCAAAAAGCCGTTTCTTAAAGTACTTGAATACACACAATACGACTGCAACACGTAACTCACGCGAGCGGACGGAAACAAACGGCAACACGTAACTCACACGAGCGGACGGAAACAAACGTACCGTCTTCCTTCAAATCAAATGTGCGATATACGAGATAAACAAAGCCTGTCTTCTCCTTGCAAGATGTACTGCGCCAGCTAAATCTAAAGTCGAGGAAATATCGAAAGAAGTTTCAAAAGGAGTTGTCATTGTAAGTATGATATACCAGTAAGGTTTTTATTGAGTATGCAGGAGTAAAAAAAATAAATTCCCAAGAACCTTCCATTCTCCTTATAAGCATTCAGTATTTTTTCTCTAATTCCCTTATGGACATGTTAGACGTTATAATCAGACGTCTTGACTTTGTGAAATAAATAATCGAAATATAAACGGTCTAACCAAGTTATTATTATTATACATTTAGCGGTTAAATACAGTCCACTCCACAACTATAAGAAGTTTGCCGACTGGCTTTTGGCTTGAAACAAACGTCACAAATACGGCAAAAACGACTCATTTAGAGTCAAAAGACTTTCATAGTCAACGATCTTAATGGGGAGAACAAGAAGCAATGAATATAGAAAAACAAACATAGATAAGTAATAAATAGCTAACAAATACTATTGTTCTTTAAACTGGTCTACTAGGTGGCTACTCTCCTTCTTCTCTGCCGGCGGATGGCTACGGATCTGGATCGAGGAGCGGGTGGTTGCTGATGAGGCTCTTCTTACTCTCCATTGTCTCCAGTGTATCCTGCGGTGACGATACCAGCTGGGTCTGATGAGTAGGTCACGGGGGATGCCCGGAATACTCTCAGACATCTCCTTTTTTTTCCTTTTTTTTTACACAGCTTTAGATAACGGGAAGAAGGTTGGTAAGTATAAAGGTAAGTCCGCATTGCTTTACGTTTATAAATACTAACTCTATTTTCTTTATTTTCTTCCTCTCTCCCTTTCTTCTTTCCCTGGCGGATTAGCTGGGTAATCGGATCCAATGGGACACTGGTGGGCATGGGGGGTTTGAGGAGCTGATTTGGTGACTGCTTGGCTGCTTGTGAAGGATCTGTACCGGAAGCTGACCAGAGAGGAAAGGTGAGTTTGCTGCTTGGCATGCCGGTTTAGAGCAATAGTCTATTATTATCTATCTATTATTTATTTATTATTCATTCGTCCGTTTATTTAATGTCGCATAATTATGTATAGTGGTTCTAACTGTAGTTGATGCAAATAGCAACCGTAATAGATATTTTAATAGTCATCGTAACATGTATTTAATATAGTTTAAAAATTATAATAAGCTGGGGGGAAGGCAGAAAAAATAAGTTAAAAAGAAAAAGTTGAAAGACAAGTAAAAATAAATAAATAATGTATTTTAATAATAGTCAGTCAATAAATTTGTCAAATTAACAATTTGAGGTTTCTTCTCCTTTATTAAAGATACGTTGGGGACCTGTCTCAGTTCTGGACCGAGACAACTGAGTTCTGGACTGAGTGTCTGGGTTTGGAACCGAGACAGGTCCCGAACTCAGACACAACATTGTCTACTATTTAAACTCATTCACTTATCACTGGAAGCGGCTGAGGAACGAAATTGTCTCGTACTCGCAACCCCCTTCTAGAGCATCAGTGTGGTGTTGAACCGCCCGGGATAGTCTAATGCTCGTATGATATAGCGGTAACTCGATTAATGAATGATGGACATGTAATTGTTATAATATTATTTAGCCTAAATAGATCAAGCATTAATAATAAACATACAATCAGATATATAATAATGGAGGTTGAAGCACAACCCCTCCTATTTATTGATAAATAGGTTATTGAAGAGAGGTAATGTAAGGTTGACTATCTGATGTACAATTTCTAATAATCACCAGCTTAGGTTAAATCAAGTTTTTAAACTACAAGTCCACTATCATATATTAGTCTTAATTAGTTAAGAAAATGTTTAGCTTATGGCTTTGAGTTGTAAGCTTTCCCTTTTCCGACAATTTGAATGCAAATTCCGTTACTATGTTGTTGCAACTAGTAGACATAGACAATGTATAAAAATAAATTGCGTTTCAAATAGCCTAAATATAACATGGAAAGTCCAACAGTCTAATCCAAGCAGTTGTGTGCTGCACATCGACACGTTTACCTCATGCGATAGTTTAAAGTAGATAATTTTGTATTATTAGTAGAGAGAGTCTCTGCAACGCCTAATGAGCAAAAGAATCAATTCAACGAAAACCGTAAATGGTTTTGTATAACAAGCGATCATATAAACTCTTTTACTCACCTCGCCTTAGCGTTTCGGGTGTCAAACACGTCCTAGCGGACTAGAAACCATACCCGATTATGAAGCACTAGCAATATAAACATCTTGTATCGAGCTTCGATATAACAGCATTTACTGTTAGACTCCATTATAAAAAAACTATTGGTCTGTGTGATGTAACACAATAAACGTTGAGAATGCTCTCTCCGATAATTTCAAAATTCAAAACTCAAAAAATTTTGTTATTACTTGTATAAAACAAAAAAATCCTATTATTTTTACACAAAGATTTCAAATATGTTCTTCATGTTGTTGCAAACGTTACTTAATTAAATATCTTAATAAAAGTTTTTATAAAAAAATGTTTTTGTTATTTTTAACTTGTAATTACTTTTTCGATTTTTTTTTCCAAGATTAATTTATAAATTAAGAAAATTTTTAATAAAATAATCTATTAACTATCCTTAAATAAAAATATTTTTTTTTCATCACACAATAGACTAGAATATAATTCCACTTATTTTTGTAACACACTGTATATCCCGGGTCCGTATTATTTCATCGACAATCATTTCACCAACAGTACATTTCACCGACAATTAATATTAACTACTAAAAAAGTATAATTCGAAGTAAATATTTGTCGGTGAAATGATGTCGGTGAAATAATTGTCGATGAAATGATTGCCTCCCGTATATCCCTATCCCAAAAATTCCATGGTCCCGAATATCATGCCACAAATTAATTCAGGCCGCAAATCAAGCGCAAATCAGGCCACATAAATCAGTCACGTTGCACACACATATATACCTCAGTATATATAAACGAGGTACGACTGTATATAATTTATGGTACACAATTTATACGTGGTATTTGTGGCCGATCACCCAAAACCTGATTTACATACAGCATATTATTTTTGACTGAACTGATAATCCCAAATCTACCTGTCGATACGATGGTAAGTCAAAAGTATTCCTAAGCGCTCATTTCAGAAGTTATATTTCCAACCCTTTATTATCCATTCTTCGTCCTCTTTCGTATCTACAAGCTCCTTACTAGGTTATATTGGCCCGCCTAGACACGGCAAATTTTTTATAGAGACTTTAATTTGCTATTATGCATAACAGATAATGAGACCGTTTTTTGTTTAACGCTCTCCATTTTTATGCTATTCATAACCGAACATTCAAACTAATGGAAGTTTTTTAGAAGTTTAATTAAACATTACAAAGAAATAAGACTCAGAATAAGCAACGTTTTATATATACTTTACAGAATTTGGCACCCTCTTGACGTGTCACGTGTTACGTGAAAATTGTGATCGACAATAAAAAAAAGAAATTGTGATTATGTTGTATGAGTGGAAATGACCTCCAACGAAATACAGCAAGTTTTTGATTATGAAGAAGAACCGGTTTATTTTCTGCACTTCTGACTAAAAGCTGTAAACGACAAGAGCTTACTGAGTTTTATTCTTGGAGGGTGGCTATTTGGTCACTTAACCATTGTTTACCTCACATACGCAAATTTAAAAATTCTTTAATTTACAATAGCCTAGTCTTGATATTTACTTCAGGTGGTCGATAAGTATTCATTATGAAGATCAGATACTGTAAATGACGTAACTGATTTTAAGCATATGTTTGAATTCATGTCAAGTACCCCAAGTTACGTCAATATTTTTCCATAACCGTTGTTTGTCTTTCAGCTAATTGTCTGTCAGTCAGAAAGAACCGTCATAATACTGTAATCATTGCTTGTAACCTTCCAATGTGTAGTCGTTTGCGTTTAATGGTAATGTTATGCAATTCGTATTAATATGTACGTAAACTGTGCGCTTTGTCAATAAAGACACGCTTGACGTATCACAATTAAATTCTCAATGTAGATATTATGGCTACTACAATGTAAAGGTTTACTCGTACAAGCATTGGTTTGTCTCTTATCCTGATATTATATTATAAACTGCAACTATGTGTTATGTACATACCCACGACATACACGTTTCAGATGGTCTTTAATTTTAAAAATCACCCAATTTTTTGTCCAAATCACGTGTACAAAAATGGAGTACAATATAAAATCCTCGAGATCTGCCCTTTAGGTAAATTAAATTAGGTGGTTTTTTGAGCATACTGAAATTTTAAAAAAAACTTACCAACTGATATCGCATAATTAAACTTATCTGTCCAAATCAGTGCATGTGACTTCATGTCACGCAGGACTCGAAATACGAGATTTCGTTATCTGAGACGCTCTTGTGGTGTCATGAACACTTTATCTTTTTGTTACGAGCAATATAAGCAACCATATCGGTTTGCTTGTATCTGTCAACATATTCCTTTGTAAATTCAGTCGTACATAGTAATAGACGTCGATCAATTATTTCAATCGATAAGATCAGAGAATCTAACGAACAGCGAATACGGACCGTATGGACTCTTTATTATTCGACGAAGACGACGAATTAGAAGTTGAAGAAGCGGAACAAGGTTCAAGGGGAGCTAACGCACGGGATCAAGGTGAAGACGCAAGCGAAGAGACTAGTTCAGGTAAATAATCAATCAATCAATCAATCAATCAATCAATTAATTCATTTTTCTATATCAAGAGGACTATTCTTTGTTATGACTCTATTTATAAGAAACTTAACCATACACGATATAGATACAGAAGAGACCATAACAATACCGCGAGCATCGCATTTATCCAGACTGTTTGAACAATTTATGGCATCTGTTCGTTCACCCGTCTTATCAACAAGGAGTGATTATGAGCGTTATACGAATTCATGGGTGGATATATCTAATCCAGTGGGAGTAGCTTTGCTCAGAAGTGGCGAATTCGGTGTGGTGAGTTGAGCATTAAGGCATTGCAAGGGTTATGTAAGGTTTTACCAAAGTCTTAAATTCGTTGTCTAGGTCGAGGATGATGAAAATCGCAATCTATGTCACAAATTATATATAAGGGAGACACGAGCAAGACATTTTCCCAGGGAATTGTTGATGAAGGTGACTACACAAATATAATCTCACGTATTCGACCAGCCCCCATTCAATTTTTCTCAAGGCTAATATTTTCAATAATTGTTTAAACCCAACGTCGTCAGTCTTTTCTTCCTAATTCCCGTGCAAAAGTGCTAACACGTTATCCTGCCAGAGCATATTCTGGACAGTATTCCCAAGATGGCTCATTATTTTATACTTGCTGTCAAGACTTTCGTGTGCATATATACGATGCTACGGATCCAATAAAACTAAAACCCAAGAAGACTATAACTGGCGATATCGGACGATGGACTATAACGGATGCCAATTTGAGTGCAAATAATGATTGGATAGCATATACTAGTATTACTTCCGTTGCTTATATTGCGAAGACCGCTGTTGGCGATGATTTACGGGTCCCTTTGGATTTCTCGTCTCGAGGGATGTTGGATTTTGGTGTAAGCTCTCTTTCAGACAAGGGTTAATTAGCAGACGGGTGAAAAGACATAGAATCGAACGGAAATACGCATTTAATCACTCCCGGTTATTGTTTATATTTAGTTGTGGTCAATACGATTCTCCAGTGATTCGAGAGAGCTTATTGCCGGAAGCAACAATTGCAACATATATGGTAGATAACTTCAGGCTTGGGAAGTAGCGCCGTGTTATCCTCCATTCTTTATTGATTCATGTCTACACATATACTTCAACAGTTTATGATATTGAATCACGGAGAGTTGTTCTTCAAATTGAAGGGCATCACGATGAGGTAAATGCAGTATGCTTTGCCGACGAATCCTCTAATATACTCTACAGTGGGAGTGACGACACGTTTATAAAAGTGTGGTATGTGAGTGAAGGACATAATTGTCGGGTTAGCTTCTTCGGTAGCCATTTTTAGTGATGGTTTTCCCCTCACTTCAGGGATCGAAGATCCATGAGAAATGAAAAGCCAAGTGGAGTATTGGTAGGACATCTCGAAGGCATAACGTACGTCTCTTCAAAAGGAGACGGTAGATACTGTTTGTCAAATAGCAAGGATCAAACAATGAAGTTATGGGATATACGGTAGGTTTATCATTGATTGCGAGATGAGAAATGTAATATTGATATATTGACACTAATATCGATAATATAGAAAGATGGTGTCAGCCGATAGATTTAGGTCGGAGAGACTGGTAGCTCACATGGAAGAGCGAAGAGGAACATTAGATCTGCGGTGGGATTATCGGTTTGTATTATTTTATTTAATATTTGACTCGAATAAAATGGGCTTTTGCTAACCCTATTGTTGCTCTATACATCGACAGTTATATGCCTTATCCCGGAGATCCTGACGAGAGGCATCCACATGATGTATCAGTTATGACTTATCGCGGCCACAGTGTCCTAAAGACACTGATCAGGTGTCATTTCTCACCCGTACATACCACTGGCCAAAGGTAAGGACATGCCTTGCTTAGTTCTAGTATTAAGAGTAGACGATATAAGCATGACAGATTATTTGCTTGCATTTATGAACTCGTGCACAGATACGTCTACTCGGGTTCAGAAGACGGGCATGTTCGCGTGAGTCTATGGGTTATGCTGTGATTTAGATAGTAGCCAAGCCGAATATGCGCACTTTTCTCATTCGTTGATACATGAAACAGATATATAGCATCGATGGACGCACCGTACGAAGACTTGACACGGCCACCGAAGCCGATGCTCGCTCTCGTACGTCTAATCGCTATTACCCGTCTTCTCATCCAACCGCAAGAGATGTTAGTTGGCATCCTTATCTACCCGTAATTGCATCAACCAGTTGGTCAGGTTCCAGAGGCGCGACCGGGACTATTGTTGCGCATACCTATGAAGATCAATCGCAAAATTAATAACCGTAGTGAATAGTGGAGCGCGGGCGGCAGTTGTGAGATGATTGCATAGAAGGTTCCGGCTAGGCTATGGAATTCGCTGAATGTAAGGTGTATTGAATTATTAGTCAGTTGACTCTGTGTTAATTGAAGTATTGTCCGTTGCCAAGCAGTATTTGGTCAGCTGACTACGCTATTGACATCATTCACTTTACGGTTGTCAAACAATTGCCCCACAGTGTTGTTGAAGATATTTGGAGCATATGTGGCATGTATTATTAAAAAACGTAACATATAATAAATAATATAAGATCTTTGAATGTCATCACTCTTCTTATCAGGGAATGCAGAAAGATAAACTTGATTTTATACCTATACATATTGTCCACCTTCATCTTTAGGCGTAACGTAATCTATTGCAACGTCTTTTGTCTCCTGCTCGAAAAAAATGAATGAATATACATATCATAGACTAGATGACCTGAAGTCGAATTACATTCGACTAGGACGAAAACCTCATACTCTGTGCTAGCCATTAAGGTTAGAAGTCGATGGTTCGGGAGACGCGATAGTAGACAAGTTGTTTTTTTTTTTACAAAATTGCTCGTGATTTACCATACTCTTTTTTCCTAATACTAAATGTAGCAAAAGTTTTGTTTTTGATAGATCAGCAAGTACGCGTTTTTGAAATATCACTGATACTGGATGACCATCGCATAGCAGTCAGCCAAACCATTCCATATAGTAAGATGTATTATATATATTTGCTAATTTATGGTAACAACACCGCCGTTAGCGGGCACCGTGGGTGTGGCTAACAAAGATCCCAAAATAACCGGTTCGAATATAATAATAATATCTTTTTGCCTAATTTATTTGATAAATATGCAGACAAAGCATAACAAATAATATTATTTGTAAAATTTGTGACTCGCAATACAAATTAGTGATTATATAGTTTTCGTTCGCGTCTTTCCTCTGAAGACTTTCGTTCGATTAAAGATTAATTCGTTTTAAATTTTGACTTTACTTCATCACTTTGCTTGCTAAGAATGTCTTATAAAAATCAAATTATTTACAACAATGACAATACTGTTTCGGTTCCTTTTGACCGTGCAGCCAAATGGTATATTGTAAACCATCCTCTCTTGAGAAATACGCGATTGAAGTCCCAAAGCCGTTTATACATTAATCCATTAATCCATTAATCCGTGAGGTGTTTATTAAATCACATCGCGTTGAGCCACGAATTATATTGAATGGGAAACTTCAAGTATAAAAAAATAGAGTCGACGATATTCTTGAACTTACAGAAAAAGGACAAAAGCGAGTGGATAGTATTCGTATAGGGTAGAAAAAGATAACTTATGTTGGTGCTGGCATAGAAAGAGGATGAAGAGTCTTGGGATATCAAAGATTATACATTGATCAATTAGAATATAGTCATAATTAGCTAATAACGCAACGGATAAACCTCAGGGTATCAGCGAAAAACGTGACTTTACTGCGGATATTTCAGAGTGAACATTTGATCATGTGAGCTAAAGAGGCTGAAAAACAGATTGCGCGGTTGCTGATGAGTCTTGGTTTATTTTATACTTTAAAACATGGCTCCGTAATGTGTACCTATTGTCGGAGCCACTGGCAAGCCTTTCTCTATGTGCAGCCATAGAATAATGATATTGGAAAGGTTACAGAGTTGCAAGTATGAGCTTTTACTACTTCTCACAGATTTGTTGGTGACCTACTAATACACGTAAATAGCATCAGATACTGACTAATCCCTGCTTACAACATTTAGCAACTGGATGGATAATTAACATTGGTTAATATTCTTCCGGCTCAGACTACAGTGCAATTGCCCCCCACAACGACGTAATTGCACGCTGCCACACGATAAACGAATATGCTGCCATACAATAACGTATGGCACACACATGCAAAGAGAATATTGGATTTTAACAGGAATAATTACACGACCTCGAAATATGAAGCTGACCTCAATCAAGCCATCAGGGCTTGTACAAGGAAGAAGGACAAGAAGGATTTGAAGGCTTATTACCGGTAATTATTGATATTGATTATATTAGTCTTTACACGCCAAGTATAATATGGGGATAATCGGTTAATGCATGGGCCCATGCGAGACTCAAGATGAGTTCCACGCCGGGCGCCGTTGCGTCAGTTTTGTTACGGGCAATGCCTCGAGTACCTCGTCGACAGAACATTGGATACCAGAATAGTCACTTTTATGACTAAGTTTGCGTTGCTCTGATTTTTGGTTATTATTATTTGAGCACCTTGCCATTTAAACACCAACAACTAATTATCTGAACTGTTTGATTTTACAGCACATACGCGAGAAGATTTACAAGGATGCTTTGGAGAAGGACCAAAGTCGGGTAAGTGGTCTATAATTTTTATAAAATCTCTTGTCACTGATATGCTGAATAGAAAATTGTTTTTAGCAACAAAAAGCTGAAAGCATGGAGAACAAGAACCTTGGCTTTCTCGTTGTATTTGATCAACATCATTGATGTATCAATATGAGATTTGTCAAGTCTAGCCTTTCTCATAGTTAGGCAAAATGTAGAGACAGTTATAAAGAACTCTGTAAGTAAATTGCCCTGCAGTTTTATTTATTGTTATGCAACTTGATTTTAATCTGAGCAAACTTCTAGGATGTTGCAGCCAAACGAAAAGGCTGTTCAAATGAAGAAATGACTGTCTATTGGCAGTTACAAAGGCCCTTGATGAATTGGACTTGTCAGAGGTCAACCTGGATGATCCATTAGCTTGTGGGATATTTGATCCCACAGGGAGAGGTGACAGGAATGCTAATAGACTCTTAGAAGAAGAAATACAGGGATTGGTAAAAAAGCACAAATATAAAATATAACAAAAAGGTGAAGCTCCCTGATGTAGTCGAAAGCATGATTGACAAGTTCATGGATTCATGCAAAGGATTGAATGTCAATGCAGTAGCATTGTGTCCCATAGGCCTTCCAACAGAGATAGATAAAAAGTTGTCTACCTTGTCTATGACTTGCTTGTGGCATTGTAAGTGTATGTGGTCAATTTGTGATGTTATTATTATGTGACAAAATACTAATACTATGTCAAATTACTTCTGCAGTATGTAGAACAGCAAGACCCCACCAAATTCATAGAAGAGCAAGACATGCCAAAATTGCAAAGTCTGTTGCAATGCATTATATTCGAGGCGAGGCAACAAAAAAAGTTAACAGATTTTTTCATCAAAGAGAGAGAGAACCACAATTCATAAGAGGTGAACAAATTGGTTTAGTTTATATGAAGAAGGAAATAAAGAGATTTTTATTATAAATAAAGTTTAAGATTTAATTCGAGGCATAATAATAAGTATCGTATATAATATCATTACATATGACGTCGTTTTTTAAAACCTAACACCCCCTGTGATATCCAACCCCCGCATATATCAACGAAATTGACCGGTCCCATGGGGTTGATATTAGATAGGGTTCACTGTATTGAGTTTCGGAATGCACGAAAGTGCAGATATAGGGGAAAATATCGCAAAGTTTAATTTTATGAATATACTGTATATGTCATTAAGAATAAGAATAAGCATGAATTTATTTTTGGAAAAATCCAACCGTTAAAATCCAACCGTTAAAATCCACAACCTCATACTCAATGAGGGCACTACATCGCCGAGATACGTACGTAATCCACTCTATAATCAATACATGTTTCAGCAATCTGAGGGTTGACGCTAGAGATGGGAACCGGTTGGCCGTTTAGTTTTAAACTCGGTTTTAAATTGGTTCAATTTTAAATTCGGTTTTACTTTTTTGAGAAACGATATTCGGGTTGGAAATTTAAATCGAATGTCTCTCACAGATCCGGTTGTTGAAAATTCTTTATAACCGGTTGCAAATTAAAACCCGAATTTATGCAAACCGAATGTTCGATTTAAACCGGGCCTAAAAATAAACTCGGTTAAACCGGTTTTCGTCCCAACCGAATGTCTGATTTAAACCGGGCCTAAAGATAAACTCGGTTTATTCGAGTTGAACCGGTTTTTATCCCAACCAAATGTCTGATTTAAACCGCGCTAAAAATAAACTCGGTTATTCGAGTTGAACCGGCAACTATATATTGCAAAAAGGACCATTTTAATTCTACCTAATGAATTATCGATTGAATCAACTAATCCAGTAACACTTAATGAAGAGGATGATAATGATGAATCCTTCAGGCAATTAAGAACAGTGAATCATAGAACATCAGCTTCAGATGAATTAGATGAAATTGTACGATACTTGGCTCTTGATAGTATTGGTCTTAATGACGATCCATTAAAATGGTGGCAAATTATAAAAATAGTTTACCAGTTCTTGCTCAACTGCCGAGGGAATATCTTTCAATTCTTGCAACTTCAGTCCCTTCTGAGAGACTATCCTCAGATGCTGGGAACCACATAACAGCAAAGAGAACGCGTTTATTACCGAATTTAGTAAACAAATTTTTGTTTTTAAAGAGAAATTCGGAGTATGTCGAAATATTTCCGTCACAATAAAATTTGTTTTGGTATAGTTAACAATTGATTGGACATGTTATGAAAGATAGTATAATCTGATTGCTAATAAAGACAATTGCTATAACATAATCATTAAGCATAATTTGTCCCATGTTAATAAATATTAGAAAAACGTTGTGTATTGGTATAATAATAACTGAATAAATCGATTTATTTAGGCCTGCTTAAATAGATATTTGGTTGGGATAAACCGACAACCGGCTCAAGTCAAATAAACCGAATTTATTTTAGGCCCGGTTTGAATCAGATACTCGGTTGGGATTAAAACCGAAAACCGGTTCAACTCGAATAAACCGAGTCATTTTTAGGCCCGGTTTAAATCGAACATTCGGTTTGCATAAATTCGGTTTAAGTCGGATTTAATTTCACACGGATTGACCCGGTTACATCCGGTTGCAAAATTTCGAGAGAAGTTGAAATCGGTTTGCGTACTTATAACCGGGTCCTACCCCTGGTTGACGCGACAGTCAAAGAAATTTGGTAATTTTATTACTATACTCTATAATAGTTATTTCACTAGATGCGGGACTAGATGTAAACCTGATTTCACGTTAGCAGTAAAAACCGGGAAGAGAAAATTCGAGGTGTATTACCTCGAAACAGGCAGGGCAAAGGTTACGCAAACAAAAGTATAAAGAACTATGTAGTACTGTATATAAGACAAGGCAAAGAAACAGTTGAACGAGTTTGTTGCCCGAGATTATCATAAATTAATGAAGTTTTGCGTCGACGGCCATGAAAGTATAATAAAAGATCCCGAAATAAAAAGGCTGACGGCCAAACACGTTATCACTATCTTCGCTACGGTATAAACGGTGACGTACTCTCCCCATTTCTGCCGGTGCAGTAACACCAGCGCATCGATGTCGCATGTGGTAGGTGTTTTCCCCTTCTCACTTAGAAATTTATTTACAGTACTAACAACCTATTCCTATATACTTTTCTAAAAAGACAACTACTTCAGAATTGAGAAACTGGTATTAGACCAGAAATAATGATCGCTGCGGTAGTACGGAAATAATAATAGAAACAGCGATACATTATCCATCGCGAGCTGTAATAATTAGTAATAGTAGATCAATTAGTCCGCTCGAAAGATACATATCGATGAAGAATAATCGCCTCTTGTCCCACGATTATTCGATTACGATATGTAGATGCGCATTATAATTGAAATACTATTGTACTCCACCGGTAGACTAAGAAATAATCCCGACAGAGTTACTCGAGTGCAATTAATATATCCAGGATTAGCGTCACTCTACGGCGCGAAGGTTTTCGTAAGCGCAAAGCCTTGATTGGACAAGGTCACCAACTGTAACCCGAGGTTTACCTAGAGAAGGAGACGCCACGCTCTGCCGAAACTAGCTAAATTCCTAGTGTCGATTATACGTGATAGTTGGCACGACACAATACAAATTCGCAGGTAGGTTTAAATATATTATTCAAATCGTTGAACCTGTTTACTAACCTCACTATATTATGTTATAGGGATGGATATAATAACAAATATATGTTATAAGGATAATAATGGTATTCTGCGATATTGCAGAAAAGATGCATCTATCCTTGCAAAGCAAAGGATCTGTACGATTTCGTGGGAACTGCGGGTATGCATAATACTGTAATAATGTTGACTTTTGCAATTAGACTTAATGTGTTTATTTAAAGACTAATTTGTCTATATCAAGCAAACAATAATAACCACTCTCAACAATGTGGTAATCCCGCGTCGTTATAGACATGGAAAGAAAAAAGCGCGCAGGGTTCGGTAATTTCTGCCGCGAAAGCTTACCAGATGGTCAAATGCGATTTATGTCATGGAAAATATATGGCCTGTTGTCTCTAATACTGAGATGATGTAATTATGCAGCTATTGTTACAATTAAGACCAAACGCACTATCCAGTTTGCAAAGTCAGTCACCACCTACTGTGGTACCCAGCAGCGATCTGATACAGCGTGTCGTGTGCATATTTTCCAACACAACCGCCATTGCCCAAAGCATGGGCACATTTGTGCATTTGTACTATGCCTTTTTATTATGCCCATACCCCCATGCCCTATGCCCTATCTATGCTATATTAATATGCTAATAACAAAAAGACTGCAATACTTTAATGTTTGGTTATACATAACGAATATTTTATGCATTACTAATAACGATCTGCTTGATTCTTCGAAAACGCGAAAATCGATTTTCGTCATAATCCGGAATAACGCAACAACCAAGAATCCAATGCTCATATAACTTATATTTTTGTTAACCATAAGATAATTGTTGTCGACTCAGAATATTAAGCACGATTTAAATTTCGATATACCAATTTACTTGATTATTCAAAAACGCAAAATCGATTTTCGTCATAATCCGGAATAGCATAACAACCAAGAATCCAATGCTCATATAACTTACATGTTTATTCATTACAGTTATCATGGAAGTGTGTATAAAATATCAATACATGATGTTATTAGTCACAATATGTAGAATGTAAATTGATTTTAGGCGAGGAAATCGGTTCAAATTGAATATAACAAAATGTAAAGGCAGTATTGTAATGCAGAGTTGTCTGACAACATGATGGAATTTTTGGCTTTAAAAAGGTGCAAATTACTTGTGCATCCGTAAATTAGACTATAAATCATTTATCTTTCATATGAGCCTATAGTCACAATCTCTAATAGATCTCCTTATAGTCCCTATCACCAAAATCTAAGATAAAGATATAAGCTGTCTATATATAGTCACACTTGATCACGTGTTTTATTTAGAATGATACGCGCTTCTTGAAATTTTAAATAAAACGTCTTCTAAAGTTTAAGTAAAATAAAATAAAATTGCCAATTACTACCCAAAAAATAATGCTTGCAAGCGCACAACAATCTCTCTGGAGACAAAAAAGGCAAACTAGATCACCCTAACTTCGGCAAAACTTCCGGTGAAGCTGGAGAGCTAATAAAGGAGGGAAGAACCATTTGTCAAAACTAATAATGCCTTGAGTCATCGGGTAACTGGTACAATTGTTGGCAACATTATTATCACCGGCAAGATTTACGATCATAATTCCTGAGGAAAGTCATTTCAAACATCGGATGGATTGTTGGACAGTTCTAAAGGTTCAGAACGAGAAAAACAACAACTTTAGATAACTTTTTCAAATAACATTATTCTGATCATTATACTTATTTCTGAATTACAAAAATGAATAAAAGATCTGCTTAAGGGAAATGATAAATGAATAATAACATGTAATAACCATAATTACCACAAATTAAAATGGGCTGCCAAAGGGTGTGAGTTGCCTGTATTAGTATTTGGTTTCTCAAAGTAATAACAGGTTTTATATTTAATGACTAGTCCAATACACGCTTGTATTCTTACCAATGCTTCAGTAATTCTTCTTCTGGCTCTGTTGAAGATTATTTGGTGCACAGAGTAAACATACGATCATGTGAATTCAAATGGCTGAGAAGACTTTTGCTTTATTTAGTGGCACAGCTGAATCTATGGATTAATTTTTACTTGTATTTCCAACTAGTAGCTATATCATGGTAATTTCTAAATTAAAAATTGCTTAATATTGTTACGGCAAGCTGATCTGATGAATCAAATAAGTAAGTCACATGATAAAATCTTCCTCTGCAGTCAGCAAACCCGACACATCGAATATTTAGCTCAGTAATACAAAAGTTAAATTAGTAACGGCGTGTCGAAAAATCCGCAACAGCACAAAATATTATAATTAGAAATAGTTGCGTTTTTCCGCAACAGCACAAATACTATAATTGGAATTAGCTAAAAGAGCGTTACGTTTTTTCCGCAACGCTCGAAGATATATAAGTAGCCCATATTCCATCGTCAAATCTTCATGTTGTCAAAGTCATCATGTCTTGAAACATCAAAAAGTTCGAATATTGTTGTGAAATAAATAATACTACTGATCTTAGTAGTATTCCTTTATTATAAATATCCATTTAACTTCTATCGTCGAAATAATTGATTATTCGACCGGACACTCCAATAAACGGCTTGTTCAAGCTGTAAAGGAACTCCAATAAACGGCTCACTTAAGCTGTAACGGAAATAGCATTGATTTTAATCAAGCTAATAAGGTCCGCTGATCAATTACGTGAATAACGGAACGAGAGTTCATAATCAATTATCGAGACGATTATTGTTTAATTAGTTTAGTAAAGACAAGTGACGGATACCGACTAGTCGACAAACAAATCGA